CTTTCTGAATCACCAGCAGCCTGTCATTCATTTCTTGCACGGACGCCTATGCTAAAATGCCACACAACCCACCCGTAACATCCCTAGGACTGATCTTCGACCTCGAACCATGATAATTTCTTGACTCCATGACTGGCTACCCCCTACGAGCGCCTAGAGGACATGGTCTCTGGATCACCCCCATCCCCCGCTTCACCTCAACACCATGCCGCCATTTTCTCCGTCCTTCTTTCCACGGGACCATTCCCAGCTCCACCTCCTTCTCACTCTGAAGTTCTTCATCCAACAACTTCTTCTTTGATACAATCTTTCCAGACTCCAAGTACCCGCGCGATCACATAGATGCATGAGCACATCATCCAGCTATTCGGCGCGACTGCAGGGTATCCATAGCCACATCGCGACTCACAGCGACGCCTGGACCCCGGATTCTAGAGTCAATCCATCTAATCACCAAGCCCGTGGGAACATCTGAAGAATGCGAGTGCTGCTCCGCGTCGTTACAGGTCGTTCCCAACCCTATCTCGGTCCGATCTACATCCCACTAATCAGATCGTAACAACGAAGATTTCCATAGCCACCCTCACCTGAGTCCTTCCACCTTGTCATATATCTACATCCTCCCGCTTACTTACTTGCTCCCCTCCTCCCCTCCCTACCTCCTCACCTCTTCATACCCTCCCACCTCTTCATCCCCCCTTACCTCTCCTACCTCACCTTCCCTAACCTCTACCCACCTTCCCCTATCTCCACATCCTATACCCCCAAACTCACTACTAAACTACCACCAAACCACCACCATCTCTGCCCACCAAACATTCACATCCACACCATCAATAACCCCTCAACCTCCATCACATACCCACCCGACACACCCGATATCCACCCCCCATCGCCTTTCGACCAGTCACCTGTCACCGGTCCGACAACTGTCAAAGCCCATCTCCAGCCTGCAATCCGGTATACTTCATCGATTCGCTTCGCTTCGTACAGCATCACCCAGTACTGTCGAAAATGGCGATACGGACACGGGAGAAACACGAAGTATGGCCATCGATGAGCGATTAGAACGCATGATGTGGCGAATAGAGTGGAAGTCATGGGCGGGCTAGAGATGTTGTTAGGGTCGAAGAGGGCACCGGGGTGGAGTGTGGGTTGGGTAGGGGGTAGGGAGGGGACGTTGTGGATGTTCAGGGCGGTTCGAGGTAGTCGTCGCGATCGCTTGTATGATGCCGTGATAGTGGTGATGATGTAGATTGAGTAGGAACGCGGGAGGCAAAGAAATGGGAGACCGAGTCCGGGCTCACACGACCACAGGCAAACAATGCATCATCAGATGGACCAACCGACCAACTATCAAACCGCTGGAGCACAGTATGCATATGTCTCTGGTCTGGCGGCAATCTCACAAAGTCATCATACCATACACATACATATAAACCACACCCCTACGACCCTACCACCCACTCCCATCCTCGTTTAGTCTGAACAACCCATTCTTCTTCTTCTCCCCCGCCCACTTCTCACACCACCCCTTCATCTTCTCCCTCGCCTTGGCACTCCCCACATTAACCGTCGGGATAATTTTATCAATACGCAACGCACAGCAAAACATCGTCAACTCACGAAAGCTGCTATGTTCACTATACGGGACCCCAAAGCAACTCGCGCGACTCGTGCTACCGCGTTGCGGCGTGAGGTCGCGCATCGAGAACTGGCTCTTCCAATTTTGCGAGTGCAGGACCGTCTGCACGGCCGGGCTTTCGGTGAAGCGGCTGTTCGGGGGCCGGTAGTTCCATCCAGATGGGCGGAAGCCAACGGCGCGGGAGAAGTGGTCGCGGAAGTCGCGGAGGTAGTCCTCTAGTGTTTCGGCGCGGATTTCAAAGAGGGGCGTCATGTGGACCTGGGCATCGCGGGGGTTGGTCGTGAGGAGGGCGTTGAGCTCTGGGTCTTCGAGCGCGCGGCAGATTCGCTGCTTGTTAGGCGGAGCGTATATTTTGCTCTTTAGCGCTTTGGCGATGCCGACGCATATGCGTTCTTTGCCGATGCTGTAGGTACCGACGATTACTAGCAAACGACCGCGTTCCTTGGATGGGCTGCCGTTTGAGACTTTCATTGCGTCGACATCTTCGGCATCCTTCTCATCTACGTCTTTGCTTGTTTCCGACTCTTTCTGCACGAACTTGACCATGCCTTTGCCTGCGCGATCCTTCTTCATCTGCTCCCATCCATCTGTATCATCGGCCCGAACCTTGCTAAGACTTACACACATGTCTGCACACGCTTGTATGACCTGCTGCTGAGGCGGAAAGGCATACTTCGGGTTTAGGTAGGTCGTATCGAGATAGCAGACATCCAGCTTCTGCTGTCTGCCCTTCCCGCCAACGACGTCCTGGACCTCGGGTCGAAGCAATGGATGCTCGATATGGGCCTGACAGGCACGAAAATCTCCGCAGTGTAGGACTCGCTGTAGCTTCGGGTTCTTGCCTTTCCCAATCTCTTTCTCAAACAGGAACAACGAACTGCCGGGACAGTGATTCGCCGATATCATCGTGACGTGGACGCCTTCGGTACCAGGAACTTCGGCCTTTTCTTCAAACTCGAGATCAACGACCCATTTTGGGTCGACGCGGAGTTGCTGTCTGACGAGATTGGCGGTGACTTTGCTGCAGTAGATTGGACCGTGCGCCCAGGAAGACGTGAGTCCCATGTAGTGATCACTGTGGAAATGACTCAAAAAGTACGCATTCTGACCCTTGACTGCACCGTATCGAAAGGCGTCGACGCATATGTAGAAGCCGGGAAGGATCTTGTAAAACGGACAAGTACGTTGGAACGCCGGCTTGCCCCTGGCAGCAGCAGCTGAAGCGGCAGCAGTAGCCCAGGCAGCGTCCTCGGCATGATTCGCCATTATCTTGGAAAATGCCGACTTGGGTTCGGTGCTCGTGTTCCCAAGTTGAAAGGGGTTATCCTGACCTGGGCGCGCCGGCCGTGGCGGCTTCTTGAAGATTTTGCTGTTGATGGTAGGCGCCGGTACCACAGCCTTGGTTGGTGTCTGGTGCGTAGGTATCGCTATCGGTTTACCATCCAAACAAGCGTTGACATGCACCGACGCTGCTTGATCATGCAAGCCGCCCAAACTGGCATTACAGATTGGACACGTCGGGGTAGAGATGGTGGTGTCGCCAATGTGTACGGGATCGTCGACCGCGTCGCTAGGAAACATGGACGGAGCCTCTTCTGCATCAAAGTCACCCTCAAGACCCTCCTCGGCCATCTCGAGCCTTTGTTGTTCTTCCATCCACCTGCGCTCGTCGTATTCTTCGCCCTCCGGAAAGTCTTCGTCTTCGAGACCCTCGAACTCATCCACGTCTTCGTCGCCCATTTGTGAGGTATTTTCGGTCTTCAGGGTAGGGGGTGCGGTTGGAGAAGGTATTGCGATCTCTGCATCATTTGGCATTGTGACTCCGCTCTCTGACTCAGGAACCTCAGGATCAGGTGCGAGCTTGGCGAGGCTCAAGCCTCGTCTGACTGGAACCATCATTTCTTCAGCTTCAGACTCGGAGTCGTCGAGGAAGGGGCCTGTCTTCCTACGACTGCCCAACACGGGTCGCGTGATGTCTGCTGGCAACGCTTTCGGGGCATGCTCGCTATCCCCGTCCGGAGGAGGAGGGCTGCACGCTTTGTCCGGGGCATGCTCGCTCAGCTTCCGGCGCTTGACACTCCCAGTATCCTCGTTGAAACGCTCTTCTCCGTTCTTATTGTTGTTGTCGGGCTTCGCGATGATGACGACATCATCCTTGTCCTCGTCCCAACCGACCTCTTCGTCCCCAGCAGTTTCCTGCGACAATAATACATTGACGCCTCTCTCCTGCAGAAATATGCGATTATTTTGTTCTTCTGCCTTCTTGAAGAAGGCCATGATGTTGCCATTGGCCGGTCCTTTGGGCTTCCCCTTGAACCCATTGCCTGCCGGCGATTTCTTGGCCCAGTCGGTCGGGACCAAGGTTGTCTGGGTCGATGACTTCCGTGGCTGTGCTGGAGTAGTCTTCAGCTTCGCTGGTGCAGCCCTTGGCGTGGACTTGGCCGCCATCGGTCCGGTCTCTGTCGAGGACGAGAAAGAGCGGGGTGGCGAAGGGGGACGACCTACCGAGGGCGTCAGGTGGGAGGACGAATCGAGTTTACGGTTTTCGCGCGGGTTCCGAAACATGGAGAGAAAGGTCACATATCTAGGGTCGGAAACGATCGTGGCGGCAAAGTGGTGTCGATGATGGGAGGAAGGGTGATGGACAAAGTGGAAGCGCGCCAAGCAATCACGCCGGCACGTGAATTGGCGTTCTTCTGATCGCGCCGCCAAATCTCGTCCGCTATCAGACGATATGTTCTTTCAACTTCGCACCAGACATGGCAACACTGTATGTTCCATTGCAATTCTCGTAGCGTTCCTTTATCTATCGTTTTATGCTGTCCTCTGCCTTGCAGTTTTCGGTCCGGATAGCTTCTTCACAGGGTCTTGCCGCTATCTCAGGACCCTCCATTGAATCGTTGGAAAGCCGCTCATGTCGAATGATGGCAGTCCCAAACGTACCGAAAGACTGCGCCGCTGTAGCATTCTCGGGTCCTCAACTAGCTTGGTCAACAATGGTCTCCGATTCAATGGACACGGAGAATCTACCAACGGATGCGAGCATGACACCCTCTCCGAGCCTCGAACTTCTTACGCCCAATTTGTAGGCCGTATGTATGAACTATCTAAGGGCGCATTTCTCCTCTAGCCTTAGTCTGGTCGGTTTACGGATCTTCTTCTGAAGACCCAATACTTGCTTTAGCGCCTCGCTTGCCCCACCGCTCCGGGACCCCGCACTCTATTCTAGACATGAATCTCATCAAATAGCATCCGTCGAAGGACTCGCCGTTGCTCCTGAACCGGCTCGAGAGAGCTCAGTGCTCCTGTTATAATCTGGCCACGCCTGGAAAATTGTTACAAATTTGAATCAACAGGCCCGTTGGCGCAATGGTAGCGCGCCAGATTCCAGTACTTGGAATGTCCTGGAGGTTACCTGTTCAAATCAGGTACGGGTCATTTCATTTTGCCTCTCCGTCTTGTATTTTTTCCCTTTTGCTTTCTTTCGTCCTCCTTCACTATGCTGGCAGTCTTTTGCATGTCATCCACGGACTCCCACATGATTGACACGCGCAAGAGACAAGGCAAGAACACTGCTGATGATACAGGACAATTTCCAACAAACGGCTATTTTTATGCACAGGAAAAGCTATCGAAATTCCATTTCCGATCCAGCAGCGCCGTTATTGTCGTGGCAGACAACCAATGGCATAGTGACACCCCACGGCTACCAGGGGAATGCAATATCCCATCAAGCTGTCATGGCCCAACGCATGCATATGATGCTCCTCGAACTTCATTGCTGTGATTCGCCTTGATATTTCATCCCACAATGCAGTCGGTACTAGGATGCAATGTCCACTCTCGCACCACGCATTGTAATGCTACTGCCTTACCATGTCCATCAGCAAGCCAATTCGCATCCTCGTCCTCTCCGACACCTGCAATCAATGGCCCTACGCGCCGGTCACCCACGTCACGCCACCGCCCAACATCGACGTCTTCATCCACTGTGGTAACCTGACCCAGATGGGCGGTCTCTCCGCCTTCCACACGGCTCTCGAAAACGTCAGAGCCATTCCGGCGGATCTGCGCCTCGTAATCGCCGGCAACCAGGATCTTGACCTCGACGAGGCGTGGGTCATTAAGAGCAGCATTGCTCGCGGGCTGGAAGACGACATCTTAGAAGAGCTAGGCACAAGCATGCAATGCCAGAACCTATTCGCCAGTGCGAAAGAGAACGGCGTGCACTACCTTCGGGAAGGCGTTCACGAATTCGAGCTGCCGTCCCCGAGCAGCGGGTACAGAAGAAAGAAGACTTTGAAGGTCTATGCAAGTCCTTATACGCCAGCGCACAATGGATACGCATTTACATACGGAACCGACGAGGACCGATTCAACCTTCCTCCTAGTACACCTTCAAATACTTCTGCGAGTACTATCAACCTCAATTCTGTGCCACTCCACTTTCCCAGCTCCGATCTGGACATGGACCTAGACCTCGGCATGGGCGGATATACCGATGTTGTTGATATTTTCTCTGTGGCTAGCGTGACATGTCCACCGCCAAGACACCCATGGACTCCGCCTGCTGAGCCAAATGAACCGATTCCGGACAACATGGACATTGTCATCACCCATGGCCCGCCCAAGTTCGACACGCTGTACTACCGCCTAGACATGAATGCGGCGGGCCAACATGGCGGCTGCCAGAACTTGAGAAAGGCGGTTATGCGGGTGAAGCCAAAGTTGCATTGCTTTGGACACGTGAGAGAGGGCAGGGGCGCTGTTGAGTTTGAATGGGCAAGTGAGGGAATGCATAGAGGGGTAGAATTTGATGTTGGGGATCGCGAGGCGGATGTCCTTGAGGCTGGGGGCAGTAAGAAGATGAGTGGGATGGTTGTGGGTGGGCTGGGGAGGACGATGTTTGTGAATGCAGCGATGTCTGGGCTGGGGAGTAGGGGCGTGCTTGTTGAGATGGAGTTTTGAAGGCGTTGAGTGTCGCCTGAGCTCGGTTTTTCAACTTCGTCGTCTTAATGTTTGAGTCGCTTTCGGTATCTCCAAACTAGTATATCAGAGACTGCGATGGTCGTCCTGTAAATCCATGTTGTCTTTCCTTACCATCAGTCTTAATCGGCTGCCAAGCATTGCTGATGACTGACGGTCCCACAAGCAACTCTTACCCATCATTTCACACCTTCTACTCACTACAAGCATCGCTTTGAGTCGTAGGAAACCAGCAGCCATGCATCGCACGAAGCGACGCCTCAGGATGCCTGGTCGGACGGCGTCTGGTCATCCCGGGGTTGTCCTTGCCTCGGCCGTAACGCGCGAATGACGTCTTCGCCAACGGACGTACCTTGAAGCGCATCACAACAAAGCCTTTGATCGCGCATTATAAGTCAAACTAACCACACCGAACTGACTTTCGAACACTCACCACCAGCACAACATACCGTCAGGTTCTACCGCATAGACCACAACAACAATGACAACCGTAGCCCTCGCCGGCAGCACCGGCCTCGTCGTACGTCCACCTCTGCACTCACCTCCTCCATATCCACCGTTCACCAACGCCTCTCCCTCCCACCCTCTAACCATTCAACCCAGGGCTCCCACATCCTAACAACCCTCCTCGCCGACCCCACAATCTCCACAATCCACACCTACGCCCGCCGCGCGCCTCCAAACCCAACCTCCTCCCCCAAACTCGTCCACATATCCAACGCCGACTCCTCAACCTGGCCATCCACCTTCCCCACCTTCCCCCCACCGCAGATCTTCATCTCAGCCCTCGGCACGACCCGCAGCGCAGCCGGCTCGATCCCCGCCCAGCGCGCCATCGACCTCGACCTAAACCTCTCCCTCGCGCGCGCCGCGCGCGCCGCGGGGGTGTCGTGCTACGTGCTCGTATCGTCGTCTGGCGCGAACGCGCGGTCGGGCATGGCGTATGCGAAGATGAAGGGGGAGCTGGAGGAGAGGGTTAGCGAGTTGGGGTTCGAGTATACGGTTATACTACGCCCGGGGCTGATACTAGGGGATAGGGTGGAGGCGAGGCCCGCGGAGGCGGTGGCGAGGAGGGTGGCGGGGTGGTTGGGGAGTGTGAGTCCGAGGTTGACGGGGGGGTGGTGTAATGGGGCGGAGGGGATTGCTAGGGCGGCGGTTCGGGCGGGGGGATTGTGTGTTGGGGGGGAGAGGGAGGGAGGGGAGGGGAAGGGGAAGGGGAAGGGGGTTTGGGTGTTGGGGATTGCGGAGATTGCGGAGCTTGGGAAGGAGTAGCAGGGACCGGTGTTTGTGAGGATAAGGAGGAGGGTGTGTGGTTGATACCAGGGTCTGTCATCATATACACGCCGGGACACGTAGATTGCCAAATTCCTCTAAGACTCTGAGATATGCTTTGTGATCGTGCTGATCACCATCACTTCACCAAATGTGCTTACATCCTTCCGACAGCATTCTCGCTCAATCAATTGCACGCGCAAACTCTCGCACGCAGCACAGTCCCATGAACTCTGGTCTCTCAGCCTTTTGAACATGTGAGGGTCTTTCGGCCATTTTAGTATCAAAACACGCACACAGCACAGTCCCATGTACTGAACATGTGGGATTTTCGGCCATTTTAGTGCCAAAATACGCACACACCACAGTCCCGTACGCGCCCGCATTTTGGCTTTCTGGACATAGGAGGTTTCTTCGCCCGTTTTAGTGCCAAAACACGCACAGCGCACTCCCATGCGTTCCCTCATATAAGCTTTCTGGACATGTATGCTTTCATCATCCGGTTTAGTAGGCAGAACAGAACAGACGTCTTCCCTCATGCCAGGTTGCTACGCTGGTTTTTAGTCAAGATACTGCACAGCGCAGGTCCCATGAGGTCTAGCACCTCGAGCCTTTAGTCGACGAGGGAACAGAGGGTGGGATGTAGAGGAGGAGAGGAGTAGAGGCGTCGAGGATGGGGAGTTTGGGGAGGTTGGGGAGGTTATGTAGTACTGTGGAGGAACGTTCGGCCTCATCGACATTTTGTATGTTGATTTTAAATTGGGGAACTGCACAGAGAAAGTCCCATGTTTTTTGCTTTTCTAGGTTTTTAGTCCACTGAAGACAGACGGTTGAATGTAGAGGAGTAAAGGATGAATGGCGCAGAGGATGGGGTTTTCATGTAGTACCGCGGAGGAACGTCCGCTCTCATGGCCGCATTGAATTCTTGCTTATGTAGTCTTACTTGTACTTGCAGCTAGTTTTTGAGCTCTTGTGAAATCTCGAACATCCATAACTTTACTCTGCCATTTCGACAGCAAGACACGTGTCACGGACGTCCTCTCATACCTAGTTTTCGGTCCATGTTTTTCGTGTGGAATTTCAGAATGCTGCACAGCAGTTTCCATCACGAGTTGGCGCAAGCAGTTTTGGTGTACTGAAGACAGAGAGTGAATGTGGAGCTTTCGTGGCGGGGAGAGCAGGGGGTTATGTAGTACTGTGGAGGAGCTTTACTCTCATGACCAAGTGGAGGTTCGTGTTTTGGTGGAGTACTGCTGAGTAGTTCCCATGCGCTCCAAAATGTACGGATTTTGGTACACGGAAGACAGAAAGTTAGATGTAGATAGAGAATTAAAGGCTAAGAGGATGGGGGGCTTATATAATATAGCAGAGGAACGTGCTCTCATCGCTTTGGCGAATGGTGTTTTAGTCGAGGCTGCACAAAAGTCCCCATGTCGTTACATCGATATGATTTTGGTGTACTGAAGATAGATACTCGTATGTAGAGAGTTCATGGCTAAGAGGATGGAGACTTTGTATAGTATTCATGGAGGAACGTCTACTCTCATGACTGTTGACGCGTTCGTTCCTTAGTCGAGATACCGCACAGCAGTTCCCATGTAATTCGTCTCTTTGGGTTTTAGTCTACTGAAAATGGAAAGTCGGATGTGAACAACAAAATGCTAAGAGGATAGGGGTTTCACATAGTATTATGGAGGAACGTCACCCGCATGGCCAACAGTGGGTCCGTATATTGGTCTGGATGCTGCACACCAGACTCATATCATTTGGAGCTATGGGATTCTTGTGCACCAGCAGCTAGTCGTCGAATCATGCAGCTAGTAAAATCTCTCTCTGCAGTTTGGATCAAGACACGCAAGTCCTCCCCCATACGTGGTCCTCTGTCGTGTTTTGGTTTAGGCACTGCTCAACGCTGTCCCCATCAGTTCGATCTCGGGTACATTTTGGTCTACTGAAGATAGACAGTTGAATGTAACTGTGGACGGTTCAGGACTCAAGGCTGGAGAGAATGGGGGTTCATGTAGTACTTGTGGGGGGGGGGGGTACACTCTCATAATACGTCCAATTTTCACGTTTTAGTCTAAATTCTGCTGAGTAGTTCCCATGTCATTGGCAACCGTATGATTTCTGATGTACTAGAACCGTGGAGGAGACTTGTGGAGCATCCATGAACATCACGT